ACGGTTGGCGCCGGCCCGTCTCGCCCAGCCTCTCTGCGGAGACAGGGCCGCTCCAGACTACATATAGCGACAGGATCCTGGGGCGCCGGGGTAGGCGTTGTGCCTGTATCAGGAGTGAAGAAATAAGCTTTTATTGTTTAACTGTCGTCGTCATCTCTGAATTGTGTAACCGCGATCACCCCGTGTGACCAGCTCCGCTCTCCTCTAAGGCCCATTAGTTCCAGTGGGATCTCATTAGAGGAGCGGAGGAGACCTCCCCCTGTACGGCTTTTACCATACCACATTTGCCACTTATAAAAGTTGCGATGAGGAAATGCTGTGCTAGATAAGACCTCATGCAAAACAGATGGCACAACAACATCTCTGTTTTTCTCCCAAGGCATGAAGCAAGACTGGGCTCTGAATTATCTGGAACAACATAACTAATGGTTCGTTATCCGGAACAATATAACTAATGGTAGTCTTCAAATAAGTCTGAATAAACCCTAAATAGTTTGCTTAACTGCTAATGTCATATTTAAGATAGTTCTTAAAAAATTGGAGAAATAATCATAGACGTAACAAAATCCAATAATAAAAATCAAAACTGCTAGTTAAATAATTCATTAGTTTACAACAACACGTACCATCACAATAGGCTTTCTCCTGAGCCTGGTAAGACATTTCAATTGGAAGTGAAATGGTTTGGAAGTTCTTTTCAAACCCCAGAAGAAAAGCTTCATTCTAACTACTCAGGGAGTTTTAAAAGTTCACAATTTTGAGCCTTAGTCTCAGAAGAAAAATCTCCACTCAGGCTGAGAAATTTAACTCTCTCACGCTGAGAAATTTAACATCATTTGCTGTTGAAACATTTATTGCATTTAAATTGAGGTTTTTAGGCGGGGCAAGGATTCACAAATACCAGGATTTTAGAAATAGATGGAGATTTTGTTTGATCTTTTCTTTCTCTTTTGTGATGTCCTTTTTGTGATATAAATAACAAGAGAGTTTGCAAAGTCCTGGAGCACCTCTCCACTTGAAATGGGTTTTGCTTTACATCTAGTTAGAACTTGCAACAAAAGTTTTCCACTTAATGTCAGATGAAGTAACTGTCTTTTAAAATAAACATTTGCACCTATGACATGATAAAGATCACTTTGAGATCACCATTTTGCATGCTAAATTGATTGCCACAAAAGCTAATGAAGGTATTTCTATAGTAGAAAACAGCAGTCTTGAAAAACAGAATACAAAACTCTCCTTTGCCACGAGCTCGCGTTCATGGGTGTTGCTAGTGTTGCTAAGAGTGTGAAATTTAACCGTACGGGAAAAAACCTTGTCTTCTCTCTCATACCAGGCACTGGTGGCATGTGCAATACCTGCCTTCGTGACCCACTCGTGAGAGACTAAGAGCTTACAATACCCAGTACAGCAAATAAAATTCAATGGCAACAAGGAACAGCCAATCTAATATATTCATAACAAAGTGTACGTATCACTGTCTTCATCCTGCAATGTTTTTTCTAGTAGTTGTAAATTTAACCCAGTGCTGAGCCTGGTTAAACAGAAAATGGAATAAATAGCTTTGCGTTTTTGGTTAGAAAAGCGTTGATGGCAACGTGGGGAACTGGAAAAAGGGCTGAAGGCAAAACTGTCTTCTAATGCCAGACTGGAGGCTGGCCTGGGTGAAGCACGGTCCTTCCCCACTTGCCTGACACTGCAGGATAGCACCTGGGGACGGCCGCCGCTGTGGACGACGTGAAGGAAAACCAGGACTTTAGGTTACTCCTATGTAGACGTGTTTATTCAAAGATTAAAATCAGTTACAGGACCTGACTGACTCTCCTTGTCTTCACGGAGGAAAATGTAGGTAAAAGCTTGTTCCTGAAGAGCTCTTCAATCCCTGCCTGAGAAAATAATTAAGCGAGAAAGCCCATTTGGAGAGGTCTCCCACGAATTAGGTAGAGGGCATTATGGGAAATAAATGAGGTTGCACTCCACTCAGTAATTGCACCAATTCAAGACAATGACTTCGTTTGCGATTGCTCATTTTGCCTCTGTAGCAGGGGACGTAATAAGCAACAAAACCTCACTGCTAATTGCCGAGAGTACGTTCTCTAAGATACAGGTTAATTCAGTTAGTCGTAGAAAACAGCTTGACAAAAAGTAACATTTATCTGGCAGCTGTCATGAATGTGACCAGAATAACAGCCTCCAGCATTTTATTAAGCTATCTATAGTCTCTTACTGATTTCTCCCTCAACTACTGTTCTAAAACTACCATTTTAGTTATTTTTCACTTAGTTATTCTTTTGAATCTCAGAATTAGAATTATGGTCCAATTCTATAAGCCTTTACTTAGAGAGGTAGCTGATAATCACTCAAGCAATTCCAGTGAAATCAATGGGAAACATTTCTAAAGAAAGTGGTACATATGTGAAAATGGGGCCTGTTCCCAGGTGAGGAGCACAGTGGAGATCGGGGCAGTGGGCGCAGGCCCATTGGGTTTCTCCTTCTTGAATTCCCTGTGCCACTTTGCGAAAATCATTCAAATTTTTTCACCTGCAGCTAAAATGGAGATAACAGTACCTGTAAGATGAATTAGTATTTGTCAAGTGCTTTAAGATTTTCTGATGAAAGGGAATTTGAGGTAAAAGGACCACACATTAGACGGTGGTTTTGCCTGCTGGGACTGGTGGACCCGCTGGCCAGTTTTGGCTGAGCGCCACCGCAGCCCTGCCAGGGCTGTTCCCGACCCACACGTTGATCTGCCTACGCAGAACAGCTCCAGGGATGTGGGCAGTTTTGCAGGGGAGAGACTTGTTTTTAGATGTAGTAACCCAATAAATGATAGGTTACAAAGGACTTCACTGGTAAAAATAACTGCTTACAGAGTATTTCATCCTATCAAAAATCAAGGATACTTTATTACTGAGGGTGAAATTTGGTCTTGTTGACATCAACGGCAAATCTCCTTTTCAAGTCAGTTGTCCCAGAACAGTTAGGCAAAAGCAGCTAAGACACAGAGAAGATGAATGAGTCCCCTCTATGTTGAAATAGTCAAATACTGCAGTAAATGGGGAATGCAGAGTCACCTCTCAGAAAATGAAAGCATTAAACATACCGCTGCCTTGTTTCTTAGGCACAGTTCCAGACGACTTTCCTGCTAGGATGAACTTTGCCTCCCTCATTTCCATCCTGAGGATGACGTCTCAACTTGTAATTATTGATTAACTATCCCTGTAATGGAAGGGTGGCTGTCCTGTCTGGCTGTCGTTCAGGCCTGCTCTGGGAAACCAGAAATTACTGAAAATGTCCACCAGGTATCACAAAGCAGCAGCTGATGGCAATTTGGAGCTCCTGAAAGAAGCCACTAGAAAAGATCTCAATACTTTGGATGAGGATGGGATGACGCCCACCCTCCTGGCAGCGTACCATGGGTATCTGGAAGCTCTGGAAGTCGTATGTCGGAGGGGGTAAGTGAATCGGGCTCAGTTTCTTAGAGCTTGTGGCACAAAGCTATAAACAGCGTGTAGCATTTCTAGTGCTGCCAATGTGTCAGACCCAAAAGGCTGAATATCCTGGTAATTTCTTCCTACGGTTGTGTCTCTTCGTTCACCTTGGTTTAGGCCATGAACCTGCAAACAGCCCTGTAGCGGCAGGTCAGCGAAGCCACATCAACAGCCCTGGGACCCTGTCACGGACATGGAGTCTGCAGGCAGCAGTCGGTAGCAACAGGGTCTGGGACCTAATCCGGCCTTAATGGAGGTCAAAGAAAAACTACTGTTTGTCTTCTGTAGAGGTTGACTTACGTCTTTGAGAATAACATACTTTGAAACTAGCTCTATAAAGAAATGTCTTGAAACATTTTGAGCAAAAGAGCTCTGTCGTTTGCTTCCAAAGTGCAGTCAATGCCTGTGAAGGTCTAATGCTTTTCTGAGGCGTCGCAACTGATAGTTTTGAGATGGTAATACCTAAAATTGTTATTTCTCTGCTCTTTATATCATTACCAACTACTACCATGCTAAAAAGTTCATGATACTGTTTCAGGGGCTCAGGTAGGATCTTTGCAAACTAAAAAAAAAGAAAAAAATAAAGGAAGGTTTTATACAGGTGTACCTGCTAGTAGTAATATTTCTGATTGGAATCATTTACACATACTACATGCTTAAAATATATTACTGAAAAGGTCACTAGCTCCCCGTATCATCCTCTGTACTCTCTCTGCTTGAAGCCTATCTTTTATGCTGTGGTTCTGCAAAAAGATCTAATAAAAGAGAAGCTTTTCATGTGCAGAGATACAGTAAAGAAAATGTTTTTTTCTGGGCTGAGATGAAGATTAAATTGACCTGTATTTTCACTTGTAATAGCTGAAAGAAGATTAGAGGAAAAAGTTGAACAGCTATTTGGATGTATTTCGGTTTTCTTTTCTTAAAAATAGAACTGAAAATACAGACTATGAATAGGCATGTCATAGATTTGCTTTATAGCTCACTGAGCTCAGGTGTGGTTGTAATAGCACAACAAAAAAGACCTTTGGACTGTATGGTTATTGCTGTGTCCCCAAAAGCAGCAAAAATAGACTGACAGATTTTCAACTTGTATAATTAATACAGCTCCACGGAAATACCTAGAATCAATACAGGTTTGTCTGTGAACACAGACAGAACATCTAGCTAAGGAAACAATAACAAGATAATCTTCAGAATCTGAGGGAAAAATATATAATCTACCATATATGTTGATAGAAGTCACAGCAGATGACACAAAGATCAAAATTCCTACGTATTTGTTACTCAGTATATTTCTGACTCTATTTTTCTTGGTATAGGACAATTTTGGGATAGTGTTGCCCTCAAAATCTTCAAACATATGCATTCACCGCTATTTTAATCCAAGATTCCTTGACACAGTCCATAGACTGAGGCAATCAGAGACAGCGCTGTAGTCTTACTCATCCCTCCTTGGCCACTGGAGAGAGCTGAACTGTGGAAGATTTTCCCTGTTCTACAGGCCAGCAATGTTTTCTTGTGAGAAAATATTTTGATTATTTTTAACAAATTCTTCCTTTCCTTGAAGCAGAGGTGGTTTCAGGGGTTTCCTGACAAAGGCACTCAGACACAGGATGGTTTTCTTTAGAGTTGTTGCAGATTTTAGGACTCTGAAGCCTGCAACACAGTCGGCCTCTAGAAAATGTGGCAATATTAACAACAACTCCCTTTCATCTTTAAACAGTTTGTCTTCCCAGGCAGTAAGAGATCTTCTCTCTGCCTGCTGTGCAGGTACACGACCAGAGGCAAGAGCAAGCAGCAGACAGCAAGTAGCAGATCTGCTCACTTTTGTGAGCACTTTTGCCTCCTTCCTCACACTTGGGAAAGGAGAGAAAAGAGGAGTATGAGAACCCAAAGTAGATGTCAGACTTTATCCAAAGCCGCCCTGAGTAGGGAATCACCTCTCTAGCTTGTGAATTAGTTGAGAGCCAAAGGCTGGAAGGAAAAGAAACAGCAAACGGCTATGAAGAGACCTGGGGGGACGGATGACCCAGCACTTCTAGGCACTCCTGAGCCAGACGCAGGACAACGTAGCCCGATTGCTAAATTGGGGATTAAGGAATCTGGCTTCTAGGGCATGCTCTACCACAGGCAGGCAGTTCCCTCGGGCAGAGCCAGAAAGCAGAAATAGGTACACAATTTCCATATGTCTAAGTCAAAAACTGATCCTGAGCTGTCACCTCCTTGCAGCAATGCCTGCGCTCTTGCAGCCTGGCGTGCTCAGATTTGCTGTTGTTTCTCTGTGTGAGCAGCTCTGTGTCTGGGTCCACAGGGACCGCAGTCTCCCTCATCTCCCGCCTGTGGCATTGTAGTCTGAAGGATGTTCTCAGATTTAGCGCTCCTCAGATATGTTAGTGCTTTTCTCCCAGTGATATGCAAAGCCAGAGATCAACACCTGAAGGAAATTCTGTGACAGGACACACCATTTCATCCATAACACAAGGGCCGTGGAATAAATCCCCCAAGACACTTAAATGTTTAAAACTCCCAAGAGAGGAAATTCTCTTTGTAAATTTGACCCCTGAAGTTATTAAGGATTTTGGAATATGGTGAGTGCCTTGGTTATCGGGCACAGAAGATTCACGTGCTGTTCTGAACCATTGCTAATATTGATCCTACCAAGTATGAGTGAAAAGACTCAAACCAATTCTAAGCTGCAGGCAGCAGTTCAGCGTGAAATGAATGCAAGAGTTAAAGAGAAAGCAACACTTTTCACTGGCTTGAAATTCAATTGAAAAAATTTGGCATTTTATTTTCAAATGAGCTTCTGCTTTCCAAGCCCCATGAGCAAAAGCGTTTTAAGGAGAACAAAAGAGCTGACCGGGGCAGGGGTCTAACAGCAATGGAGACAGATGGGTTGTCAGGGCTTGACTCATAATCATCTACCTATTACCTATCAAAAAGGTTACTGATGTGCGCACATTAGATATATATCACTGTGATCAATGAAGAAGCCTCCTACCATTGTCCCTGCATGTGACATGCAAAAAGAACAATTTGCCAATAGCTTTTAAAATACTCTGGCCAAAAGCCACTGAAACAATTTTACCATTAACTCTAGTGAGTGTAAGTCAAAGTCTGAGGCTGCTTTCAGCAAATTTAGTGGTAGAGCGATCAGAGCTGCAAGCGCTTGTCCTTGCCCACGCACAGGGTGGTTGCTGGCTACTGGTCTATCGCAGGAGGCAGGGGGGACCAACAGGGAACCAGCAAAGCCGTACCTGCAGCACCCCGGCAGTCTCGGGGCTGACACAGAGCAACTACCCCAACCCCATCGTGGGGATACGCAGTCACACGTGGCCCCAAAGGGCTTGCTTAATTCAGAGAGGGCCAGGACTGAGCACTGATGCCATACATGCAGCCAAACTCCATCCCGGGGTAGGTAGGTGCAGCACCAGCCTAGAGAATGGAGCTAAGTCGGGTCATTTTCACTGGGGCTGTACTTCTCACAGCAAAGCTGAGTTAACCTTTTAGTACTCGTTTGATCCCAGTGCAGTGTTATGTTGGATATGTCCAGCTCACCATATGCTATTTGCCTTCTCAGAGGTGATCCTGACAAATGTGACATCTGGGGGAACACTCCTCTCCACCACGCTGCTTGCAATGGTCACGTCCATTGTGTTTCTTTTTTGATCAAGTTTGGTGCCAATATTTTTGCTCTGGACAATGATCTCCGTACTCCTCTGGAGGCAGCTGCCAGCAGAGATAGAAATGAGTGTGTCAGCATCCTGGACAAAGCCGCCACTGAACAGAACATGCTGAATCCAAAGAAAGTCTCAAAACTCAAAGCTCAGGCCCAGAGGAATGCAGAGAAACAAATCAGGGAATGTGAAAAGCGCCAGGACAAACACCAGCATGAAATGAATCAGAATTATATGAAAGAAAAGCTTGGCTCAGTAAATTCTTCCAGAGGGACACACTCCAGAGGAAAGGTGTCTAGTCTCTTTACTTCAAATACAACAACTTCTTTCTCCAAAAATCTGAAAGATACCTTCAAATTGAAGGCAAAAAAGACAGCTGGTAATGCAGGAAATCAGGAAACACAAAGCAACGGCCAAGAGGATAGCAAGGATAGAAGAACAACTGTGATGCATTTATTTGATGAAAAAGATGAGGATGAGTTACTGAATGACCTCAGAGAGATAAACTTTTCTGACAATGACAGTCAACTCTCTATTTTCAAGCGGCCAGGTCTTGGCAAGATTGTATTTGGAAGAAATTTGGCTGCAGATATAAATCCAGAAGCTATACCTTCTGGGAAAGAAAGCATCAGCTTTAAAATGTCCAGTGAGCTCTTTCAGCATGAAAATGCCGAGAACGGCAGGGAAGATGATGCTGAAAATAATGCTAATGTTCCTTGGAACGAGGAGGAACTCGTCTGGGACGACGAGGAAGGGGAGAACACGCCCCTGGAGGTATTTCTGGCATCACAGATGCTGGATGAGTTTCTTCCAGTCTTCATGAGGGAAAAAATCGATTTAGATGCCCTCATGCTATGCTCTGATGAAGATCTACAGAGCATTCAAATGGAGCTGGGACCACGAAAGAAAGTCCTGAATGCCATGGATAGAAGAAAACAGGCACTCAAGAACCCTGGAAAAACTACAGATACTCGCTTATAAACAAGCATATTTGTTTCTGGACCCTGCACACTGATTCATTATCCTTTGCTCTTTCACAATAACATGCAGTTCTCCTCAGACGTCTGCTAAAGCAAAAGGCAAAGAGGTTACCAGTTCTTTTAGCATGTACAGTGAGGCCAAAATGCTTCTCTCTGGATAGATGACTGCAGTGCACAAGACAGAAATGCAAGTGTATTCTGCTAAAAGAAAAAAATTAAAGGTAAAAAACAAAAAACCTCTAGATTTAAAACTCTCTCTCCCAGAACTGTCTTACGGGGATTGGATGTTTTTTGGTGCAAATAATTTCATATATTAGTGAAGGCCAGGCACACTGCATTCCTTCCCTTCCCTTCTTTTTCAAAACCACAATGCAAAGAGCATTCCCGCAGCTAGGGAGCTTGGAGTTTTCTCTCTTGGTTCCTGTTAGATTGCCCTTCCTGCTGTCAGTGAGACTGGAGAAACGGAACCTGGATCTGGATTTTGTCTGTCATCTATTGACTCTAATAGCCTCTGAATGAATATAAATAAAACTAATTTACAGCAACTTTCATGTTCTTGTCAGTCAAGTTTCTTGCTACTGTATTGATATTCATTTTTAAAAAGTATCAAAGATCTGACCAAGTGATGTTTGGTGTGAGTTGTACATTCTTTTCTCTTGTCTCATTAGACTGGAGAGTAATAGTAAGCTGCCAGCAACCATCATATCTTAAATGGAATCAATACTCAGTAATACTTTTAATGACAAAAAGATGAGGTTTTATTTTCAAGATTTTTGATCTGTTTTGTCTTCAGCTTGCTTCCTATAGGACAGATTTGTCACATGAAGTCCCAGAAACAAAGCACCTAGTGTTTTCTGTTGCCCATTACCTGTCTCGGCCTGAAAACTGCATGCAATGAGGTACATGTACACCCAGCTGGTGAAAAGAGAAAGAAAATGATGTTGTGCTTCTCGGGAAGCTTCTGCTGGTTACAGTCCGTTCGAGGGCACTCACGGCAGGGTGCCCTTCAGCTGCCTTGGCCCGTTCCCTGCAGAAGCCAGGACCATCTGATACAAATTAATCCCTCTCGTGAGTCATATGAATCTAACCATGTTTTTGTAGCAGCCATGCTCTGACTAAGAGCTCAGATTTTAGAGGCACAATTACTTATTAACAGGACTTAAATCTTTAAATCATTTAAGTATTTTTTGAAAAATCTCTTTCTACAGCCCTGATACATTGATCAGCTGTGATTTTTTTTCTCCTGCATTGATGGAGACTAATCCTAGTTAATAATCCATTATTAATGCTCTTTCCAAGCATTCCTCTTTTCCAAGTATTTTTTCCTTTACTTTGATCTGTTTATTATAACAACTATTTTTTTGGCTGGACTTTATACTGTATTCTCTTCTCCTTGGACTGCTGTACCTAAGTGTGTTGACATTTTCTTCTACTTAGCAGACATACCAACTCCTGTGCTCGGCACAGGAGTGGAATCAGAGAGCATCAGCCTCTGCTTTATTAATATCAGCCCGGGCTCTGTTATTAACTTGCTGGGTTGTTTTGTTCTTAGTGAAGGGATTCCCAAACATTTGACAAGACAAACAGGAAATGGTGAATCTTACATGTTTGAAAGCATAGGACAAGGGGATTCTGTAGAGTCAAATCTTGTCATTCTTGGCCATACAACTGATTTAAATGTTCAGTGTGGTTTGCTTAGTGGGCCTATAATCATCGCTTCCCAGCCTGACTGACCTGCCAAGCTGTACTGCCATTTATTTTGCGAGGTAAAGTGATTTAGAATTGGCACCCTCTCCACCAGGGGGTTCTTTACTTGCATAAACAGATGCCTGTGACTTGTCCAAATTTAGACTGGCTGTCAACACACTATCAATACTTCCAGGAGGGTTGGACCCATTAAACGATTGCCGTTAGTACAGACCAACTTCAATAAATCCATTACTTTGCCCTTTTGGCAGGGAATTCAGTAGAAGAACAAATTCAGGCTTTGAAGTGTGCTGCATGGTCAAACATTATCCGCTGCACTGCTGGGCCAAAGCTCAAGGCAAAATTAGTTCTTGGCAAATGTGGAATACGCCACAGTCTGCAGGTGCAGGTGGCTGGGGAGGGTGAAGGGGCTACTGCCCTGTTGCGACATCTGTGTCACAGCCTGGGAAGCCAGGTTTGGCCCACAGCAAACCAGCAGAGCTTCCCAGGAAAGGGAAAGATGCCTCCTGTTCATCCTGGCAACTGCAAGAGCCGCAAGCCTGTGCTCCAGGGCTCTTCCCCTTCCCACAGCGGCAGTTTTCAGGGTGGCAGAACCTAGACACAAGGAGCTGAGACCACAGCTATACTGCTCTGAAGACTTAACTTTAGTACAAGACAGTGAACATAACGTGTCTCTTCAGGCCATATTTTGATCAACCAGATTAGACCCATTTGTCCAGGGAGACACTTTCAAAACTTCTGCTAAGCACTGAGTGTCTGCTGCCAGATAGGCATGAAGGCACCTGGAGAAATTATACCTTGCAGGGACCAGGCCATGAGTTTATCCAAGTTCTAGTGAAAGTCTGGCTCTTTACATATTTATGACTGCTGCTGCCTCCAGCTATCAGAGATAACAGCAGAGACTCTCTGCACATAAAAGGATCAGTTCAGTTGTCATAACATACTAAAACACCCTAGATCCTTAGGTATCTGCAATAGCTCTATAGAGCTAGCAGATGTGGCACAAGACCTACAGGAGGCCCTTGTTCTCCTGGCCTTGCAGCTAGAGACCAAATAGATTGGGGTGAGATGCCCTGGGGCTTCCTATCTACTCTAAAATTAAATAAATGGGAAAAGATGCAATACGGCTAGCCCCTTTCTTGATGGGTGGTCTAGGAAATTGGCTCTTGGTATAAAGTAGTCATCTGGAACAATGTGGTGGTGGTGGGGAACAAATCAATTTAACTCCTATGATTAGCTGCTTTCCAAAGTTTTCCCACCAATGCCATTGCTCCTTTTATGATTTTCAAGTCTTTAATGAGTCAGATGTGGGACTCTAATTAAATAACATTTGTATAGTGCCTTCTAGTTGAATGGACTTTATGTATCACAGGTGCAATCATGTAGTCCAGTCCAAACAAAACAAATCCATGGGCTACCACAGCATCACTGCCATAGACATCAAGAGGGAACATGCAGTATGGTCAACAATTGCAAAACCCACTATCCCAGTATCACCACAGAGCAGAGCCATCTGGATTTCTTTTCACATTCAGTGAGCACATTTACCAAGAGAGAAGTCACTGCAACTGCTTGGGTACTTTATTGACAAACAGAAACGTCTTTCTTCATCTTCAAAAACAAACAGGAACAAGAACACCACCACCACCACAACAGACAAGCAACGGACAACAAAATGAAAGCTGAAGAAAAGCAATGGTATCTTTAACATACATGCAAGTTACAAATTAAAGATAATCCTCAAGAAAAACGTGTAAGAGAAGGAATCAGAGATCCAGGCTATAATTTCCAAACAAATCTAAAGATAACACTCAAGTAACTCCTATTGAAATTGAATCCAGTCCTTTTCATGGACTCAAGTTATTCAGAGGCAAAAGGGTGAAGCCAGGCTCCTTGGACCTCCTGCTGCCAATGCAGGGTAGAAACACCATGGGTTTTCAGAACCAAGTCTTTGGACTGGCTCCGTCTACTTTTCAAAGTAGAGTCTGTGGCAGAGTACACGTGAAAGTAAATTGTATGTGTCTTCTTCCTAAATACTATGCCTTATCTTGAATTGCAAACCTTGTTTCACATAGGCATGGAACGGGGATAATACTGCCATAAGTAGTAAGTGAAAGTTTCCATACAGCTCTTGAATTATGGAGCATCTATGCCTGTCACATTCACCTGATGCAAGTGGAGTTCCTTATTACTGAAGTGACAGGATAGGTCAGACACATTACCGAACGTTTCACAAATGACACAGGAGGAAAAAAAGCATGTTAAAACAATTGAAGGGTAATCTTGTTACAACAAAATAAAAAAGGCAAAAGCTAATAAGGCAACCTCTGTTCTTGATATCAAGACAACCGATGGAGTTACTCAGTTTTTACCCACATGAATATATCCTTTGGCTCTATTCCCTTACTGGTCTGGTACCCTTCCACACTAAAACTGTGGCAAGTTCAACTCTGCCACTTGCTACCCTTTTCCAACTAGTTTACACCATGCTTATGATTTGGAGCATTTTTTTATGCTGCACCTGCACTGTACTCATTAACCTCTTCATACTTACTTATGCACCATCAAGGGTTTATAACACTACCTGCTTCTTCCTGCTGCTCCACTGTAATTCTACTGGCATCATTATAAAAAGATCATGTCATGTAATCCTTTCACAAAATGAAGAAATAGTTAACAGCCTGCATGAAACAGTATCCAAGTATAAATAAAATTTCATAAGGCCTAATTCCAGCATGAGATAGGAATTCATTTCAAGGCCAATAGCTATTTTTCAGGAGATGCTCGTCTTTTGTAAAGCAGCTGCATAGCAGCACATAACTGGAACTTTTCCTTATCACAGAACGGCCAAGGTTGGAAGGGACCTCTGGAGAGCATCTAGTCCAACCTTATGTAGGACATCACTCGGTTCCTCCACCAAGAGGGAATCATGAATAACCCTCCCCCAGCATCACCCACCAGGATAGCAGTATAGCAGTATAATTGCCAATTGATGCACGGTACAGCCAAGCTGAACATATCTGCCTGTATATTTGAAGCTTATGCCCCTGTAATCAGTCAGCACAGGTCCAACCTTAAAGAAACTTTAAAAAAAAAACACTTACAAACATTAATTAATTAATACCAAAGTCTCCCCCGCAGAACATAGGTAACAGTTAAAACATTTTTAGTATTCACACTTTGGGTGACTACTTGAAAACAAGAAAATGGCAACACTCCACCCAGGAACATACTAAGGAAGGCACTGAATACAGTTCCCTCACAAGTCAACACATACATAGTATAACTCTGATTTTTTGAACTCTTAAGCCTTCCTGAGCCAGGTGCTTTATTTAAACAAACAGACAGAAATTTAACTGTATGGAAACGTCATTATTTTTATATAATGAAGTCCTATTCAGGAGCATGCTCTCAAAGGAAACCCTGTGGGGTCTAAGCAAGAAGAACGTGGGGGTGGAAGTAAGGTCTATGACTTCCAGACCTGAGGCTGAGTGGGGAGGGAAGGGGTCTCTAGGAGTCCAGGGTAGGCTGCGTTCCCAGGAGAAACTGCCAACTAAATCACTGTCCATGTAACATTGGAATCACAGTTTCATTTAAAGTACTACCACCGGTAACACATCACGCTCAAATTCCAGTCTCCAACCTGATGTATTTTACCTCAGAATGAATTAACCTCTCTACAAACAAAATCTACCCACAGTTTTCTGCTACATATGTAGTTAGGGAAGAAAGGTGTTGATTCTAGAACGGTATCAAAATGCATACAATACCTGTTAGTATTGCTGCAAATATCCAATACTTGCCATTGCATTAAAAAAATATATTTGTTAGTAGTACTGCAATTATCTAATACTTGCCATGAGAAAATAGTAGAAATACTATTACTGAAGGTTTACTTTTCATTTTTGAAAGTTCTAGCAGGGCTACATTCAGATAGAACTGCTGGCCTTTATCATTAAAAGGTTCCAAGGAAACTAAGCGCAAACCATTTTTGTGGTATTTTATGGCCTTGTTGGCATTGTAGACTTCTTTAGTTTCCAGCTGACCACGAATCATAAACGAATTTTGCTGCTACTGTATCTTCAATTGCCATCCCTGAAATGGAATTAAAGTCACCTTGAAACAGTTCCTCGGGTGTATGAAATAATTCCCTGAACCGTTCTGTTCTGAGTCTGAGTTATCTAACTACACAGGAATTCCACCTCCAAAACACTTACAGTACTATGTTCAAAGTTTATGGCCATGATATACGTGTCAGGTATCCTATATGAAGTTAATATTATGGCACGAACCTGTGTTCACATGGTGACTTGGCTCTTTTGGGCACATTTAGCTCAAAGCATGGTAAACCATCAGGGCTGCTGCTCCTTCCCCCTGCAACAGCAGCTCCAACACCACTGCTCACTGTCACACTGTCTTTAGGTCAGACCTCATAACAGCAAGACTTTCGTATTGGAGCCGTGTTTATAAAATAACACTGCAGTCATGTGTTGACTAACTGAGATGGAAAGCATACTTTTCCTATTGTTTGTTGGCTTTCCTATCACTTTTCATTACATCAGTCCTATCAGATTGAGAAATAAAAAGGGAAAATGCAAATCACATTCTAGTTTCTTCTGGAGAGGGCATTGGAGAGCGCATTGCCACAGCAATTTTGAAGATGATCAGCAGCTTTCCCACGCACGGAGGACCTACTAAATAACAAGGCATTGTTTTCTGTCAGACTTGCATGCAGGAGGGGCTGTTCTTACCCAGTGATTTAAACACTGTTGTTTTCTCAGGCAGGGCTGGTTTTGTACCCTTCAGTACCTCTCCGAGTTCAGCAAAAATCTCAGCCTGTGAACAAGTACATATTGCTACAGAAACAAAAACTGGAAAAGTTCTTTTGAACTTTGTTCCTGAGTTACTTTATTTCCTCTTTATGCATGGATCAATATTTTATCATTTAATGGATCCCATGGTGAAAGAGATCATCATTCAAACAAATAATATAAAGAATGGACAGAAATCAGAGGAGTGGAAAGATTTTTCAGAAAAATAAAAAACAGCTGACACTTTCCTCAGTAAAAAAGCTTTTTTACTTTGATAGCCTTTTACTTATCCAACAAAACAAAGTTGCACACACTTTACAGAACCTGGATCTCTTATAGTAAACCCTCAAATCTCTATTTGTTCTGCACAGACAAAAAAAAAATCAGAAAGTTAAACTTAAAATATTCCCTGCTATCACATTTTTGCAGATCATTGTCTGCTTGACCACTGTCCTCCATTCTCTAGAGGCTTGTACATGTCAATCATGTCGAAATCTTATGAGAGAGTAACAGGTTTTAACAGATTTGAAAAAAAATACAAACATACTACAGAACATTCAAGAAAAGAGATCTTTCAAATGAGTACTTTGTTATTGTATTAAAAGGTTAAAGCTGAAAACATGCTAGTGTGATGCAGCGTTACACAACAGTTGAAATAGAAGTGTCAAGATTCTAGCATGGCTATACAGAAGTCCCAGTGCAAAGACTGTTACCTTTCAGCCTGTGTGTGGAAAGTCTTAACATTTACTTTTGATGCTCTAAGAGGTTTCAGTGCAGCACACCATCAGTAACACCTCATTTCAAACACAAGCCAATTGCCACAGAAAGAAGGACCACCATTTTAAAAAAACCTTACCCCTGACAATATCACATCTCCTGATTCAGTAAGAGCAGCCTCTCTGGAATCCACAAAGAGAACACAGTTCTTCATCAGTTCATCATCCAGTTCTCTCCAGTCTGGTCT